CCATATAGGTCATCTCCGACCAGGCACTGAACTCCTGTCTTGGTGGCTGCAGATAGCTTCCCAGTGCTGTGCGTTAACCCGTTGCTGCACCAGGGGGAGCCCAGGTGAATCTAGTTATGATGAGACAAGTTTGTGTGTGGGAGGGAGGAAAGAGGGGGGCTCACCTGGTAAGTTAATGGAGATGGTTCACAGAACAAGGGGTCCCTCGAGTGCAACAGACAAGTAGTCAAAAGCGAGCTACTTAATGTGTATAATCAAAATAATTCAGACAGGTAATTAGGTGGCTGAAGGCAGTTATCCCAAAAATCAGTCATGATTCCCCTTGTCCAACATTTGGACCTGAGACATTTTTTAGACTGAAACTCTTGAGTCCTTAGAAGGAAGAACCCTGAAACACCTAATAGAGAGCACAAAGGAAATGACAGTCAGTCATATGTGTAACCATTCATTGGAGGAAAGGAACACTGAGATACTGAGGACCACTGATCACAGGGGCTGAGTCAAGATTAAAGCCCGGAAATGCAGTCATCATCATGAGTCCCATTGGGGTGGGAGCATATGAGGCCAAGTAATAAATGGAGACTTGGCCTGAAGTCAGCTTACACTGGGTCCCCAGTGCTAATGGGCCTTCTCAGGGGTCAACTCCCTGGTTCCTGAATGCATCATTAAAATGGATACACAGGGCCCTCCCTGGTGGCGCAGCAGGTTAAAGCACAGCACTAAAAAGCTTAAACTACTTCCGCATGAGTTTGATCCCTGCCTGCCCTGGAAGATATCCTCATGGTGTGGCAGACCTCTCCTGACCCGCCCACTGCTCCCCTCAGCATTGTACTTCGTGGATCTGTGTGTTGTGCTCCCTGCTCTGTCTCTGGTGAATCCTCTCACCCTCCGCATCTCTGGCCTGTATCCCAGTTCTGTATGCATAAATAAATAAATCTTAAAAAAAAAAAAAGAAAATGGATACACAGGGAGGTTGGCATAACCTCCAAGCTAGTTCCTTGGCCATGTGGGAACTATAATAGTAGGAAGGCTGAGCACAAGCTTTTGAGATTGATCCTCCAGCTCAGGGGTGGAAAGGCAGAAGAGAATGGCACCCCAAAAGACCTAGAGAATGCAGAAGCAACTGTCTCGGTTCTAACTTCATCTCATTTCACGGTCTGATCCCTGAAAGATGTTTCTTAAGAGTGAATTTTGCGGCCCTTCCTGGTGGTGCAGTGGGTTAAAGTGCAGTACTATGAAGCTCTCTGCAGCCACTGCAGTATAAGTTTGATCACCAGGTCAGGGAGTTGACCCATATGGTGCAGGAGACCTCTCCTGTCTTGCCTGCTGCTCCCCTCAGCAGTGTATTTCAATCTGCCTGCTCACTCCCCACTGTCTCTGGTGAATCCTCTCACCCCCTCCCTGCACCTCTGGCCTGTACCCTAGTTCTTATATGCATAACTAAATAAATCTTTGCCATCGTTGCTAGAACAGACAAAAATGGCCATAAGAACATGATCTGTGGCCATTCGTTGGCAAAAGCAGTTCTCCAGTCTAAGCCAAAGGAATATCAAAATTGTATATACACATGCAGTAGACAACAGTATATATTTTGATCTTGCCACTTTCTGTTAACACAGAGTCTGATATTTGGTCTTCAGTACCAACCACAAACATCATACTGGGCCACTATCTATGCCATCATTCTGATCAGAGTAGAGGTGGTGCGCACCCTAGAGATCATAGTGAGAGACATGTGCTGGATGGTGGGAGGTAAGCTCTCTAAAGATTCAGAGACCCACCTTATCAGCAAAATTTCAAAGATCCAGCACTCTGCAGCATCCTGGCAATTAAGGGGTAAGATGTACATATTATGCCTTCCACCATGAAGAATACAGCACAATGATGAGTCAACTTCCTTTAGTTCTGCAAACAGAATATTCCTCACTTTAGAATTCTGCTCTGCATCACAGACTGATGGCATGAAAACTTGCCAATTGTGAGTTGGGGCCCAGAGTAGAAAAGGCTTCTGAGGCAGGTTCAGGCAGTAGTGCAAGCTTCCCCGCTACTTGAGCCATATGGTAGACTCTCTGATGAGAAAATACTCCATGTGCTATTTATGGCAAACTTTAATGGATAACTAGCATTGCAGAACCTAGGTTTCTAGAGTAAGGTCATAATGTGAATGAGGAGAATTATATTCCAAAAAAAGAAAACCATCTCCTGGCAAGCTACTGGGCCTGGTAGAAACGGACAGTGTGACTACAGAGCACCCAAGTAGCTATGAACTCAGAGCTGCCCAGCATGAGCTGGGTTCTATCAGCTCCAAGTCAAAAGGTTGAGTCTAGCAGCAAAAATAGTCATAAAACAAAAGTGGTCCATTCAGAACCTGTCATAGGCATAAGGAAGCTGCAGGAGAAGGCAAGCCAGACTCCAATGTCTTTGCTTAATGTTTTGCTATCACCCCTTCCTCATTTGAGATCAGCAGCTGCTAGCAGTTTCCAAGAGAGGACAAAAAGCCAAGCTTAGTTCATGGGTAACCTGGAGCTCCCAGTTATTGCCACAGCTTTATTTGGCGTGGCCCTGGGAAAAAGACGTGTGGGACAGTCCCCCCACCTGGCAAAGCATCTGGGAGTGACAAACCCACTACACAGACCAATGCTGAAACACTGTGTCCCAAATTCATAGGTTGAAGCCCTAACCTGTTTCTTCAGAATATGTTAGATTTGGAGATAATATTTAAAGAGGTGATTACACGAAAATGAAGCAGCTACTATGGGCCCTTGTCCATTTTGACTAGTGTCCTTATAAGAGATTAGGACACAGTGACAGCAGAAAGAGACCGTGTAAAAGAAAACAAGAGGGTAGCAGTTAAGCAAAGAGGACTCAGAGGATCTTGAGCTTGCAGACGTTAGTACCATGAGAAAATAAATGTCTGTTCTTTAAGTATCCTGTCTGCCATTTGTTACAGCAGTCCAAACCAATTAATACACTCTCTAAGGAAACTAATCAAGCTTTGGCAAATCAAATGTGAAGTAGCTCTGTTCATCCTACCCTAGATAAAACAGCCATTCATTTTGATAGGAATAGGCACATATTCTGGTGTGGAATTGCCTTTCCTGCTCATAGTCGTAGGCTTAGACTGGTGTTCCATGCTATGGTGTACAGGACCCAGGCATCTACTTGACAACAAAGGAGGTTGGGGGTGGGCACATGATCATAAAATCTACAAGTCCTATCACATATTCAGCTACTAAGAAATTGCCAGTCTGGCAGAGCAATGGAGCAACTTTTGTAGCACAGCTAAAGAACCAGCTCACAGGCCATGTCTTGTGATGATGGGGTGCACTTTTCCAGGATGCAGCATACACTTTAGGTCAATGATATATCTGTGAGGCTGGCTCCCCAGTAGAATATGCAGGTTTAATTCCATCTCCGAATTAGCTTCCTGAGAAACTGAACCTGCGACATGTGATTATGTTGGGGAATTTCCCAAATTAAACACTAAGGAGTTAAACACACAGACAAACGAGAACAGGGTTTGATATAGAAATGATGTCAACAGCTCTTCAAAAGCATTGAAAGAATAGCAAGAGAGCAAAATCCAAAGTATGAGTTTCAAAAATCAGACAGTGTTCAACATTTTCAATGGCTACAAAATGGTTAGATAATGCTAGAGATGAAGCATCCTAAAAATCCCTGATAATCTCAGGACAGAAGTATTCATTGAGAAAATATAGGCACTCTACCAACTGAGCACCTAACATCTGGCAAATTGTTATTCACCTGAAAGGCCATTTTCCAGTTCTCTTTAAGACACTTTAAAAACTCAGTATCCGTTATTTTTAAGTTTTGGAAGAAACCGTAGGTGGAATTCAGCGTCTCTGAGAAATTCCCAACTTATTGGGAGAAGCCTATAAATTCAAACATTAAATGCACTGTGATAGGTATAAGAATAGAGAAATTGACTGAGATATATAGAGGACAATAAGGGGAATGAAGGAACACTCCAGAAGCTTGAGAGGGTTTGGAGGGAGGATAAAAGGACATATTTAAGAAACTGAGTAAATGAATCATTACAACTTGGCTACCCATCCGGACACTTATTTAGCAGTAGAATGAGTTTGATTTGCAAATTAAAACTTTTAAAAATGTATATTCATATTTAAAAATCAAACTATATGTCACAAAAAGTCCCGATTTCCGGCAACTTTTAAAGATACTGAAACTTCGTTGGGCTGGGAGAAGACGGTACCCCATACTATTCAGGCTACTTCGCTGATTTAAGGTACTTGCTTGGACTATACAAAACTGAGTTCTCTCTTTGACACATCACAGTTGCCTATTACAGGCAAACAGACAAACGTGGACCACCCACAGATCACCTGTTTTATTGGAATCGGGGCTGGGATTACAGGCAGGCAGGTATTTTTTTGGTAGTGCTTGAATTTTAAAAATATATTGTATTAAGTGTTATTGGTCTTGATTAAATGTTCTGTTGCCCCTAAAATTTTTACACCGAGGCCAGCACACACTCGCCTCATTCTAGCCCCGCCCTATTATGAAGGATTTTGATTGAAACGCTGAACAACCTAGATTTCACTTAATCTATACAGTGGCAAACAGCTCTAATTTTAACTTTTTTGAGCAAAAGCAAGAACAGCGCAGATCCGCGTTTTGGGGCGCAACTTAAGTTCCCACCTAAGTTCCCACGTCCAAAAATCCCGCCCTACAACTCTTTCGGGTTCTCATTTTTAATGCGAGCTCTTTCGATTTCATATCGTGGCCTCCTTTTTTCCCCCGGAACCACTGACAGCCCCTTCTGCCTTCTCCACGTGCGTATCCCCACCAAAAGGGCCAAAGCACCTTATCCTTCCCCCGCGCGGCTTCTAGCTTTAGCACCGCGTTTCCTGCATCTTCCCAGGCCCACAAGTCGATACCGATACCATCGCTCAGCTCCAATGGGGCGGGGCTTCCTTAGTTCTGCATTTGGCTAGTGCTGCCTCACCCCGGCGACCGTCCAGCGGGAGGCGGAGCGAGTCCAAAATGGCGGCTCTCAGGCTGGCGCGCTCCGTGCTGCTGAGGCTTTGAGGTGGTCGCCAGTGGTCGGGGGGACGATTTCCCCGCCGCAGGGGCCCTAGAGAATGAATCGGGGACTCTGTTAAGGTTAGGCGGTGGGGGTGGAGAGAAGTGGCAGCAAGGGCTGCGGTGGAATCCACGGAGCGGGATGTGCGAGAGTTACTCCAGGTCGTTGTTGAGGGTCTCGGTGGCGCAGATCTGCCAGGCGCTGGGCTGGGATTCGGTGCAACTCAGCGCCTGCCACCTCCTCACGGACGTGCTGCAGCGTTATCTGCAGCAGTTGGGACGGGGCTGCCATCGGTACTCTGAGCTCTGTGAGTACCGGGCTGGGTGCGGGAGGGCTGCCTCTGACCAGTCACGAGTGACACCTCCAGTCTCCCCTTCGCTATCTCAGCGTCTCCGAGAGGTTCGTCCTTCATCCCCTACCCCGAGATGGGGTATGTTCTCGGCCTCTCACACCCCACCGCTCCACTCCTTCTGGAAACTCCAGTCATTCCTTTGGTGCTTCTTCCTCATCCGCTAACTTCCCGCCTCCAGCCCGGAGTCCTGTCTCCGCTCCCAGCTCCACACACACCTTCTCTGATCTGAAACGTGCATCGGTTTTTCTCCTCGTCTTGTTTTTGCTTCGTGTAGAACCACCTCCAGAATGCCTTACAGCCTCTTTTACTTTGGTCCTCCCTTGCCCGCAAACTACTACAACTAGTTGTCACAGGCGCTCCGTCTACCGGCCGTTTCTTACAAGACTGGCCATTCTTCAACTCATAACACATACTCGTTGACAGCTCTGCTCTGTGAGGGACACTGCCTTTCCCCCCTGTATTTCTTCATTTAGTAGACGGTGTCTCTACCTACTCTTTTCGTTCGCTAACTTTGTTAGTTTCACTTAGATTGACTTTCATTTGCATCTCAGTTTCCCATATATTTCCTGCAGTGGTTATCAGAGTGTGGTAGAGGGATTACAGGCAATTTGCAAGGTTCACAGGTAGTCTGGACTACAGCATGGGTTTTAAGTGAATGCCCAGTAGTGTCTGTAACTGGTTGCATTTAATAACTTAGAATATTTAAATCCATAGATCATCTCATTGATATAAAGTGGTGTGTGTGTGTGTACTGAAAACTACTAGTGACTTAAATTTCAGATAATTATTTTTAAGATAATAAACTGGAGAACTGAATGAAGTGTTTTTTATAGAATACTCTGTTAAAGTGCCTTCTAGATTGAAGAATTGAGATCCACAGATACACTTGTACTTCATTCCAGCATCCATAGTGTGGCAAAAATAATCTGTCCATGACACAAATCTGATTGTTCATTCTTAAAAACATTTTCAGTTGTTCTTCAATGGTTACAAGCTGGAAATCTAAACTTTTAAGCAACACACAGTTCCCTTTGTGTGCTAGCATTGTTCTTATCTAGTCTAATTGCACCAAGCTGAATTTTCTTCTCTGATACATTTTAAGTAGTCCATTCCTATATGCATGCTGTTTCATAGACTGTCCTTTGCCTCCTTGTCCACTATTAATATTACTTGTTTTAAGAGCCACTTGTCATTTGCTTCAGGTTATCCACTCATAATTTTGTGCATATTTCTGTATGTTATTTAACAACTTGCCTTATCTGTATATTTCACACACCCTCTCTTGTCTCCTCCCCAGAAGAAAAATGTGTTACATATAATAATTGTGTTTTGAAATCTTGTATGGTGCCATGATACAGTAGACACCCTGGAAATAGCATTGAATAAATGAATGAATGGCTAACCACTACTATTTTAGCTATTTAATCACTTCACATTTTGAGTTCTAGAAATGTATTTTTTGAAGGCTTGGTTTCACAGATATTTTTAATGTAAATTTGGAGCTGCCAAAGAACTCTCATGCATTGTCATCTTAAAGTACTTCACCAGCATATTACTCTCATGGTTTTTACTTCTTTTTCCTCATACCTCCTTCCTAGTTCTCGAGTATACTGTTACCCTTTATGCATAGTCCAGATTATAATTTTGCTACCAAGTTCCTTGTGTAAGTATCAGGTAATCACAATGTCCCCTGAATACATAGTTACCTTTCCTGCTTCAAACACAGAATCAGAATATGCACAGGCATGTGGAGCAGCTGGGTATTCCATAGTCATCAAGTGATCATCCTTACACATTGGTGTGTATCTCTTTTCTAATCACCCAGTTTCTGTAGTCAATTTTCTTGCTTTTAGTAAGTGTACATTATCAAGTCTTTTTTTCTTTTCCTCCAGGGATGTTTTAAAAATGCTAATTATTGGTATACTTAGTAGTTACAGATTATTTTTTATCTGATCCTTATTTTAGACTTGAATTCTGTAACCTCAGGTTAATACAATGTAATCTTGTACTCTACTCCTTTAAGTCCTGTTTTGTCTTTTTGACATTTATTGAGCTCCACTTATGAAATAAGAGCACTGCTAGGTGTTGAAGATATAAATTATTGAGGCACAATCTGCCCATAAGGTGTACAGAAGGTTGTCAAAATGTCAAGAAAAACAAACTGATGTATTTGTTCCTTTAAAAAAAATAATATAATAATTTATTTTTACATCATTTTGTGCATTTTTCCATCTCAGTTGTAATCCCCTTGGGCTTCCCATCACCAAATCGCCCATGTGCCATCACCATAGTATTTGTTCCATTCTAAAAACAAGCTCTGAAGTTAAAGCAGGTATCAGAAGTTTCTATTAATTCAACAAATGCAGTTTTAGATTTGCCTCAGGTAATGATTTGTCAAAGCATTCAGGGCTAACGTTTCTGTATGCATTGTACTGTGTATTGATGTGTATATGTGCACTGATAGCAAGTGCTAAATCTTGCAGAATGATTCTTTAAGACTAGTACTGTAACTTAATAATTACAAAGTATAGGGAGTAAATGCACAAGGAATAGAGTTGGTTGTGCACAGTAGGTTCCCTGACAGGAATACTTAACAGAAATGATGGGATCTGAACTAAACACTGAAGTTTGATTGAATAAAGGTAGAGAGCATTCTGGGTTAGTGAAAAGCATAATTTAAGATATACAAAGATTAAGCATGATAAAAATGTCACTGTGAAGACCAAGTGAACGCAGTTCATTTGAAGGGTGTTAGAGGAAATGTTAAACAGTGAATTCAGATTAGGGACAGACTCAGCAAAGAGAAATTAACATATGTAGTAATAATACTGCAGACTCCTGAGGAGGAGAAAGTGATATTTTCAGAAAATTGTGCTGATTTTGTAGTGCAAGAGAGATACTAGTGGGGAGAACTTGAAGCTATGCTTAGTGGTGGTAGGAATAGAGGTAGAAAAAAACTCTCAAAATCATCACCAATAAAGTTGTGTGCATGGAAGTACCAGAAGCTCTTGGATTGAACTTGCAAGGTATCTGGAAGACTTCAAGATGATCATGGTTTTTCGATGGAGAGAATAATGATGCTTTTAATGGAATAGAAGAGTTAAAATGCAACTTTGTCATTAAGAGAAAGAAAGAGTATTGGTTTTATTCTTTTTATACATTATAGTAGGAATTCATACTTACAGGAAAAGTTAGAGTACAGAGGTATTTGTAGAAGTGAAAGTCTCCTATTTCCCTTCACTTCAACTGCAGCATTTACTCCCTCCTTTTAAATTATTAACAGAAATTTCCTGTGTGTAAGCAAGCATCTGTTTAATTTTTACAAATTTTAGATTATCCTTCTTTTTATAGATGAGTTAATTTCAGATGACTTAATTTCAGATATACTGAGGAGATTAAAAAAAAATCCCTTAGGGTATTGGAAACCAGGAGCTGACTTTTCCTAGAAGTCTTAAAATGTGGAAAACTTAAGTTCTGCTAAGGATAGGCATAGGAGAAACTTCCCATTGTAAAGAAAGTCATATTCTTATTTAATTTTCTTTTCATTGCTATCCATTTTATATGGTATCTTATTTCACTTAAAATTTACATGTAAATTTAGAGAAATTATCTAAGTCCTTTCTCTAAATTTTCTTAGATTTAGAAAATCAGTTCAGAGTATAATGAGTTCATGAAATATTGAATACCAGCTACATGTCAGCCACTGTTTTAGGTATCAGATATGCACCATTGATCAATAGAGATGATACAGTAAACACTTAGTATACAGCATTCTAGTTTTTTGGTAAAAGATAGTAATAATATTTATTGGTCATTTATTTTGTATCAGCCACTATTCTAGAGGCCATCAACTATATCTGTAAGTCACTTATGGTATTTGTTTTGCATTAGCTGGTTGTTAGTATGAACTGTGTGTGGTGTTTGGGTTGGTTGTCAGATCATATATATTTTTTAAAGGTTTATTTATTTATGCATACAGAACTGGGGTACAGGCTAGAGGTGCAGGGGCAGTGAGAGGATTCACCACAGACAGAGTGGGGAGCAGAGTAGGCAGATCCATGAAGTACACTGCTGAGGGGAGCAGCAGGCAAGACAGGAGAGGTCTGTTGCACCATGTGGATCACCTCCCCCGACAGGGGATCTAACTGGCACTGAGGTAGCTGCCAGCTTGCAGTGCTGCATCCTAACCTGTTGTGCCACCAGGGAGGGCCTCTCAGATCATATTTACGATCAACTTTCAGAATCAGCTTTTTAAGATTTAAGTAATGTAACATTTTGTTTAAAACCTACTATATTCTCTCCAATAATTAGGTCTTAAATATATAGTATATTTGATTCTGAGCTGCTTATTTATTTAATGCCTTTTTCTTAAAATAATTTGTTTTGTTTTTTACTTTGTTTCAGATGGCCGAACAGACCCAATTTTGGATGATGTTAGTGAAGCTTTCCAGCTTATGGGGGTTAGTCTACATGAACTAGAAGACTATATACACAACATTGAACCTGTCACTTTCCCACATCAAATTCCTTCATTTCCTGTTAGCAAGAACAATGTACTTCAGTTTCCTCAACCTGGCAGTAAAGATGCAGAGGAAAGAAAAGAATACATTCCTGATTACATGCCACCCATTGTGTCTTCTCAAGAAGGTTTGTGATTTGTTTCTTACCCATATACTTGTAACTGTTTCAGTGAATTTTTAGTTTCCCAGACTGAATTTTATAAAACCTATGCCAGCATCTAATTCTAGAAATGCAATAAAAATGTTTTAATGTTATTTACAAGTTATTCTAACCTTTGAACCAACAAACTACAGCTGATATCACCAGACAAAGCTCTGGCATAATCAAGTTGTATCCGATGAGGCATTTATTCCCTTTGTAAATTTTGAGTAGTAGAGAACAGAATGTGACCATAGAGAGAATATTTTCAGTTGACATATTACATGAGAAGAGGGAGGCTATTCCACAAAATAGAAAACCTTTGAAATGTAGGAAAAATTGGGGTAGCTTTTTTCCTCATTAATGAAAGTTACAGTATTGCAAATAGTAAATGAACATTTACTAATATTACACATTTATTTCCACTTTTTATGATGAGTAGAAATGTTGACTTATTATATAAAGGTTTTGATTATAGAATCATAACTAATCGGACATAACTAGTCAGTCACAGCAGAGTTCCTTTATTCCTGTGCGATTTTATATGTTGCTCATTTAGATTTACTAATAGTATAAAGAGATAAGTAATTTGAGGTCTCTAATACAGGTACAAAATATTTTTCGTATAAAAAGTGGAAAATTACACATCATTGCTCATTTTAATTCTAAGACCATGTATATATTTTAAGACAAACTGCTGGCAGAAATAACGTATTTGTGGATTTTTAAAAAAGTTATAATAAAATATAAATAACACTAACCATTTATACTATTTTAGGGTAGTACATTAAGTGTGGCATGAAGTTCATTTTTGTTGTGTTACCGTCACTGTCACCTCCACAACTTTTTCATCCTCCAATCTCTATAACCACTAAACAAAAACTCCTTATTCCTCCCACACCTGGCTTCTGGCATCCCCTATTTATATTATGTTTGTTAATATGACTACGTTAGATGCCTCATATGAATGGAATCTTTCTTAACTTGGTGACTGGTTTGCTCCACTTAATACGTCTTTAGTGTTGATCCATGTTGCAGCATGTTCCAGAATTTCCTTCTTTTATTTAAGGCTGAACGACATCCAACTGTGTGTGTATGCTATATTTTGTTTATATATGCATCTACTGATAGATATTTGGGTTGTTGTACCTTTTGGCTTCTGTGCTACTATGAACGTTGATATCCTCAATACCTGATTTCACCTTTTAAGGAAGAGTCACACAGTTTTCCATGATGGCTGCACCATTTTACTTTTCCACCTGTACTGCTTCAGAATTCCAATTCTTGCATTTCTTTTCTTAGATGGTCCTGTCTGCTTTAATAACATTTGAGTATTACCTGTTTATTTCATAGACTAGCTTTAGACTTAGAATAAGTTGCTTTATAATCTGTATGTCACTGTTACCTCTATTTAAAAACTTGGGGCAAAAACTAACCCTGAGTTGTAGATTGATTGTATATTAGTACATCATCATCATCATCATCATCATCAGGCACTCTGGATGTCGGGTGAGTAGACTATTCTTAATAGTACTGGTGCTGTGATGAAATGTGCTGAAAGTGAAGCACTTAAGTAGGTTTCTTAATAACCATAACATGATGGACAGAACTTTCTATAACCTTTTCAAAAGTTATCATAGTTTTTTGATTTGAATTCTACTGTGTCACAACTTAGCACTTCTCTACTTAATTAAGTTCTTGGAGACTACTGAAAGTAGGAATCAGTATTACCAGTGTTTTATGTAAAGTGTTCCATCAGTAAATGATCTTGAACCAAATTATATTAAACACTCTTTCTCTAGTCTTTCCCACAGAAGTTTCTTTTTTCTTCTCCTTTTGAAATCCACTGATACATTATTAACAGGAAGACTTGGAAGTCTAAAGATGTTTATCAGTCATCCCCAGATTTCCAAAATAACTGCTTAAAATTGTTTCTCCTCCCCACTTTTGAATTTTATTTATATGTATAAACTTATTACCTTGATGAAATCTTATTGTTTATAATTCCCTATGTGAAGTCATTCTCTGTAAACCCCACATTCCCTAATATCAGTGGTTTTTGTTATTAAGCCTATATTTGTTACAGTGTCTCTAAGCATGTATTTACTTATAAAATATAGCAAATGCACTTCGATATCATCATTATCACAGCAGAGTTTCTTGGGCAATGGCCTGGTAGTAGCTAGATGGAAAAGAACTCCTTTTTTTCTTGTGGACAGGTCATGAATATCAAGTAGACCTGGAATTTCCCTCTTTGCCACTTCATTAAATTTGATTTATTAAGCATCCTACACATCTTCATGAAAGCAGTATAAGCTACTAATCCATGATATGTCCTTTTGTGTTATAAGAATAATCTTTTATGGCTCTAAAAGTTTTTGCTGAATGTCCATTTAGCAGTACACAAAATTGGGCCATCCCTGGTGGCGCAATGGGTACAGCCCAGTACTATGAACCTAGCCACAGCCAATTCAACATGAGTTTGATCCCAGGCCAGGGAGGAGACCTGCATGGTTTGACAGACCTCTCGTGACCCACTTGCTGCTCCCCTCATCAGTATACTTTGAGAATCTGCCTATTCTGCTCCCCACTCTGTTTCTGGTGAATCCTCTCACCACCTCCGCACCTCTGGCCTATACCCCAGTTCTGTATGCATAAATAAATAATCTTAAAAAAAAAAAGTACACAAAATTGGGAGATATGCTAAGGAAACATGAATGATAATCAGATGCTGGAAGAAAATAAATATTAATCAGAGAAAACTAAAGAAAAGTATTTACTATTTATAAGAATAGTTATTTACACAAACGTAAATAACTGGCACATGAGTGATTCTCAGAATCATAGGTGATTATGAGTTTTATATCAGTAGACAGTGTAAAATATATAAACTAAGGCTTAGGTGTATTATGGAATGGCATGATTGGGCCAGAACTAATGTCTTTTTCATTTTAAATATTTTAGTCTACTTTCACAGTGCCATTTGGAGCTTTCTGAATCTTAACTATGTTGTGGTTTGCATATCTTTCTTGTCCTATTATATCTTCTAATTAATAGTTAAATTGTTTAATTTGGATGTATTGGTCATCATCATCCAACACTCTGGATCTTGGATGAGCAACATTTTTTTTTTTTTTGCCTTTAAAATAAATTTGGATTTAGATGGTCAACACTTAATTAATCTTTATCCTTGTTTCACACACAAGCTTATTTTTGATTCATGCATAATCTGTATTTGTTTATTTAGAGTTATTTAATTATTTTTCATAAATTGACAAGCTCTAACAAACTCACCACTCAAAACCAAGGCTATGACTTTGATAATAATTTACACTTAAGTATTTGGTCCCTCTTGTTTTACTTTTATAGCACAGAAGTAATATACAATAAAACTCAACGTGATATCTTTATTATATTTAGATACTGCTGAAGAAATGTAATGACATTGGATTTATATTGAGTAGTGAAGAAGTGTGAAAAAAATTAAGTGATATTAGATGCAGACTTCTACCTAAAATCGATGCAGTAAATTTTTGAGTTTCTTCTAGATTGTCTGAAAAAAAGAACCTTATCTTATTGGCAGTTTTACGCAGTATAAACTAATAAACATTTTAAAAAGGAAATGTAGTAAGCCTTGAATACTGCTTTTTTTTTTTATACTTACAGATTCTCGAAAGAGCAAAAATATTGCTTGATTCATAAGATATGTATATATTTCATAAGGATACAATAGGTGATAGGCAGTATGACAAGATTCTTATCAAAACCTTTCTCTGTGTTCAGGGAGAAAGGATATATAATGCAGTCCTATGGTTGCAATTTTTAATGTCATAAAAACTAGCTTAATACATCATTTACAATCTAAAATCTTTATGGGTACAGCATGTTAGAAAGTTTCTTGTATTCTGACTAATGGTACAAAGTGTAGCATAGACATGCAAAACTTTAATAACACCAATTTGCCAGGTTCTTTCTTTTCTTTTTGTTTCCTTAAGAACCACCCACAGATGGGGCCAGACTTTGGTCATAAAATATTGTTAGCACAATACTGTTATGGGACTACCTTCTTATCAGTCTATCAACTTGGTTCATGTCAAAAGCATTGGTTCATGCAGCACTCTAAGAATAGAAAACCTGAAAGGTAGCAGTTTGTAGTAGAAAAAAAACTTGAGCTGCATAGAACTTTCTAAACAGGACTCAACTAATTATTGAGTTAACGGTCAGACCAAGTTACTTTACATTGCAAACTGTGTATTCATTAACTGCAAAAAGTTATTATAATGCATGAGTGATATATATATATATATGTATATGTGTATATATATATATAGAGAGAGAGAGATAGATAGATAGATATAGATAATATAGTGGTTTATTTTTACATCATTTTGTGCCTTTTTCCATCTCAGTTGTAATCCCTTTGGGCTTCCCATCACTAAAATCAGGGTGATATATTTTTAAGGCCACAGGTACAGGGGTGAGAGGATTCACCAGAGACAAAGTGGGGAACAGAACAGGCAGATGGACTGAATTACACTACTGAGCGAGCAGTGGGCCAGTCAGGAGAGGTCTGTCGCAACATGTGGGTCTCCTCCCTGGCTAGGGCTTGAACTTGTGCTGTAGTGACTGTGATAGCTTCATAGTGCTGTGCTTTAACCTGTTGGGCCACCAGGGAGGGCCCTCTTTCATTTCTTTAGTGGGCGTGTTATTTTAGGCTTCTGTTGGCATCATACTTTCTTAGACTTCCATTGTTTTTGATGATTATGACATTTTTGAGGAGTGCTGGTCAGATAAATAATAGAATATCCCTTTATTGAAATTATCTGTTTTTTTTTTTTTTTTTGTAATCAGAATGGGATTATGAGTTTTGGGGGAGGAAAAACAAGAGATAAAGTGCCATTTCCATTACTATACATACACTCCCATTCCATACTGTCAACATGATTTATCCACATTATTTATTGATGTTGACCTCAATTAGCTGCCAG